GATATGATACTATACATAGAGAACTCCAAAGATTCCACAAGAAAACTACTGGAACTAATTCATTCAGCTGAGTAGCAGGATACAAGATCAAAATACAAAAATCGGTTGGATTCCTATACACAAACAAAGAGAATTTTGAAAAGGAAATAAGGAAAACAATATCATTTATAATAGCCCCTAAAAAGAAAAAATACTTAGGAATAAATCTAACCAGGGTCATAAAAGACCTATACAAAGAAAACTACATAACATTACTGCAAGAGTCCTACATAAATGGAAAAACATACTGTGTTAGTTATCCAGTGCTGCTATAACAGAAATACAAGTGGATACCTTTAACAAAGAGAAATTTATTCGCTCACAGTCTAGGAGGCTAGAAGTCCAAATTCAGGGTGTCAGCTCCAGGGGAAGATTTTCTCTGTCGGCTCTGTTGGAAGGTCCTTGTCATTAACCTTCCCTGGTCTAGGAGCTTCTCAGCGCAGGGACCCGGGTCCAAAGGATGTGCTATTTTCCTTGCCCTTATTTCTTGGTAATACGAGGTCCTCCTGTCTCTCTGCTTGCTTCTCTCTTTTATATCGCAAAAGAGATTGACTCAAGACACAACTTAATCTTGTAGATTGAGTCCTGCCTCATCAAAGTAACTGCCAATATTCCCACCTCATTAACATCATAGAGACAGGCTTTACAACACGTAGGAAAATCACATCAGATGACAAAATGGTGGACAATCACACAGTACTGGGAATCATGGCCTAGCCAAGTTGACAGATATTTTGGGGGGACATAATTTAATCCATGACATTTTACCCTTTGGCCCCCCAAAATTTATGTCCTTGCCACATGTAAAACACATTCACCCCATCATATCATAGCAAAAATCTTAAATCAACTCCAAGTCCAAAATCCAAAAATTCGTCTTCATCTGTGAAATCTAGAATACAAATTATCTGCTTCCAAAGTACAATGGTGCAACAGACAGGCACAAACTAGACATATCCATTACAAATGGGAGAAATTGGAGGGAAAGAAGGGATAACAGGCCCCAAGAAATTCAGCTGAACACGTTACATTAACCCTCAAGGCTTGAAAATAATCCTCCGTTCTCTGAGACCATTTGGACAATGGCCCTGCCCTAAAGACTCTGGGTGTTGGCCACACTCTCTGGATTCTGAGTGGAGGCCCCTCGGCCCTGGGCTTCAGCTCCACCTTCCAGGCTCACTGGAACAGCAACTCTGCTCCCTCGGCTTTGGGCAGCCCCATTCTCCTAGTCCATCTGAGTAGAGACTCCACCCTTTGAAACCTCAGAGTTCATGGCTACACCCTTTGAGACTGAGGCAGCTCTGCTTCCTGTGTACCTTGTCTCTTCAGCTTCTGCTTCCTGGTTCCTCGGCCTTTCTGCCCCTTGGGCCTCTTTGTCTACGTCTGCCCTACTGGGGCAAGTGTTCAAAAGCTCTTTAGCTCCACTGATTAAGTGCCTGGAGGCACCCTACTCCACCAGTGAACTTCGGCCTGAAGGCACTCAGCTCTCTTGCTCCATGGATCAGCAAGCCTAGCTTCACCAATAAGTGACTAGAGGCACCCCACCCCACCAGGAAGCCTCCTGCTAAAGGCACTCAGTTCTCTTGCTCCTTGGTTCAGCTCCAGCACTGTCTCACATTGGTCTTCTGGTTCTGCTGCTGAAGTTTCTCTGCTGCGGCTTCTCTACTTTCTTCTAAGTCCTCACCAGAATTGTCTTTGAAGTCCATAATTCCACCAACAGTCTCTTCACGGCAATCTAGGCTTTCACTGTTAGACACTTTAAAACTCTTCCAGCCTCTATCAACTCACAGTTTCAAAACTGCTTCCACATTTTAGATATCTGTTAGAGCAGTACCCCACTCTTCCAGTACCAAATTCTGTCTCAGTTATTTAGTGCTGCTATAACAGAAATACCACAAGTGGATAGCTTTAACAAAGAGAAATTTATTCTCTCACAGTCTAGGAGGCTAGAAGTCCAAATTCATGGTGTCAGCTCCAGGGGATGACTTCTTTCTCTGTCAGCTCTGTTGGAAGGTCCTTGTCATCAATCTTCCCTGGTCAAGGAGCTTCTCAGTGCAGGGACCCCGGGTCCAAAGGATGTGCTATTCTCCTCACTCTTGTTTCTTGGTGGTATGAGGTCCCCCTGGTCTCTCTGCTTGCTTCTCTCTTTTATATCTCAAAAGAGATTGACTCAAGACACAGCCTAATCTTGTAGATTGAGTCCTGCCTCATTAAAGTAACTGCCAATAATCCCACCTCATTAACATCATACAGAGAGAATTTACAACACGTAGGAAAATCACATCAGATGACAAAATGTTGCACCATCACACAATACTGGGAATCATGGCCTAGCCAAGTTGACAGATATTTATGGGGGACACAATTCAATTCATGACACATACTATGATCATGGACAGGAAGACTCAATATTGTGAAAATGTCAATTCTATCCAAAGCAATCTACAGATGTAACCCAATCCCGATCCAAAAAACCAACAGCATTCTTTAATGAGACAGAAAAACTAATAACTGACTTTATATGGAAAGGAAAGAGGCCTGGATAAGCAAAGCATTATTGAAGAAGAAGAACAAAGGAGGAGACCTCACACTACTTCATCTCAGAACCTACTATACAGCCACAGTAGTTAAAACAGCCTGGTTCTGGTACAAAAACAGACACATTGACCAATGGAATAGAATCGAGAACCCAGATGTCAACGCATCTACCTATGATCAGCTGATCTTTGACAAAGGCCCAAAGTCCATTAAATGGGAAAAAGACAGTCTTTTTAACAAATCGTGCTAGCAAAACTGGATGTCCATCTGTAAAAAAATGAAACAGGACCCATATCTTGCACCAAACACAAAAACTAACTCAAAATGGATCAAAGACCTAAATATAAAACCTAAAACAATAAAGATCATGGAAGAAATTATAGGGACAATGCTAGAGGCCCTAATACAAGGCATAAATAGAATACAAACCATAAGTAACAATGCACAAACACCAGAAAAGAAACTACAGAACTGGGAGCTCCTAAAAATCAAACACTTATACTCATCAAAAGACTTCACCAAAAGACTAAAAAGAGAACCTACAGACTGGAAAAAAAATTTTGGCTACAACACATCCGACAAGGGTCTAATCTCTAAAATCTATAAAATACTTAAATACCTCAACAACAAAAAGGCAAATAATCCAATTAAAAAATGAGCAAAGGATAGGAACAGACACTTCAGCAAAGAAGACATTCAGGTGGCTAACAGATACATGAGGAAATGCTCACAATCATTAGCCATTAGAGAAATGCAAATCAAAACTATAATGAGATACCATCTCACCCCAACATTACCAGCACGAATCAAAAAAAAACACAAAATAACAAATGTTGGAGAGGGTGTGGGGAGATTGGAACTCTTATGCACTGCTGGTGGGAATGTGAAATGGTACAACCACTATGGAAGATGATATGGCACCTCCTTAGAAAGCTAGAAATAGAAATACCATATGATCCAGCAATCCCACTCCTAGGAATATATCCTAGAAAAATAAGAGTCGTGACATGAATAGACATATGCATACCCATGTTCATTGCAGCACTATTTACAACAGACAAAAAGATGGAAACAAGCTAAGTGCCCATCAACAGATGATTGGATAAACAAATTATGGTACACACACAGAATACCAGGCAACGATAAAGAACAATGATGAATCCGTGAAACATCTCACAACATGGATGAATCTGAAGGGCATTATGCTGAGTGAAATAAGTCAATCACAAAAGCACAAATATTGTATGAGACCACTATTATAAAACTCAAGAAACGGTTTAGACACAGAAAAAAAAAAAAAAAACTTTGATAGTTACAAGGCAGGAGAGGGTTGGGAAGGGGAAATCACTAACTAGATAGCAGACGTGTTAACTTTGGTGAAGGGAAAGACAACACACAATATAGGGGAAGTCAGCACAACTTGACCAAGATAAAGTCGTAAAAGCTTCCTAGACACATCCAAACACCTTGAGGGACTGAGATGCTGGGGCTGAGGCTGGAGACCATGGTCTCAGGGGACATCTAGGTCAATTGGCATAACACAGTTCATAAAGAAAATGTTCTACATCCCACTTTGGTAAGTAGCATTTGGGGTCTTAAAAGCTTGTGAGCAGCCATCTAAGATACATCTGTTGGTCCCATCCCGTCCAAAGCAAAGGAAAATGAAGAAAACCAAAGACAAGGGCTAACGGACCACATGAACCATAGCCTCCATCAGCTTGAGCCCAGAAGAACTGGATGGTGCCCAGCTCCTACCACTGACTGCTCTGACAGGGATCACAATAGAGGGTCCCAGACACAGCGGGAGAAAATTGTAGAACACAAAATTCAAATTCACAAGAAAAGGCCAGACTTGCTAGTCTAACAGAGACTGGAGGAACTCCTGAAACTACGTCCCCCAGACATCCTGCTAACTCAGAACTGAAGCCACTCCCAAAGTCCACCTTTCAGCCCAAGATTAGACAGGCCTGTAAAAAAAAATAAGGGACAGGAACTGTACAAATGGACACAGGGAACCCGGGGTGGAAAGGAGGAGAGTGCTGACACATTGCGGGGATAGTAATCAATGTCACAACACAATTTTCATATAAATTTTTGAATGAGAAACTAATTTGCACTGTAAACTTTCACCTAAAGCACAATAAAACTTAAAAAATAAAAATAACTACATTCTGCTAAATCAGGAGGAAGTAGCTCCATTTCTAAACATAACAGGATAAGACTAAGCCCAGGTCACCAAGCCATGCTCTGTTGAGATATCCCGCACACGTGCCAACCCTCAGCAGCATTTCAGACAGAATGTAACCAAAACCTGTGCTCCCTACACAGCACGCAGTGTGATATTCGCGAGGAGGGACGAGGATTCAGACCACAGAGGGGTCATTCCACGAATGTCAGTGTGGCAGGGAGGCAGTGAGGCTCACCTGTAGGTATATGGCCCTACTTCCGTAACAAGAGGGGTCTCCCCTTCGAGGATCTCCTCCGGATTGGTGACATTGAAGAAATAGAACTGGGTGTACACGGGCAGAGGAGGCTTCTCCCAGGAGTCAAAGGTCTCAGTACCATTCCTTAATACGATATTCTAGGGAAGAAAAGCAAAAGGGGATTTACAAAAACATAAGGCAGTTGACTTTGGACACAGGAGACAGACCTCCTAGCCTCCTTGTTCTAATTATTTCATGAGCATTCAACAGCAGTCCCGGAGAGCAGGGCCATGTTTTACACCAATGTAAAACCCCCAGCCCCTGACCCTTCTTCTCACAGCCCTATTAAGCCACAGAAGGTCTTCAGTAAATATGTTACAAAGGAAAGACGCTAGAGGCACAGCTCATGGATTGAAAGACAGCGTTGCCAAAACCAAGACCATAAATTGAGTGCCCACAAGGCCCTATTGGCTATGCTACTTTTGAAGACCCCACTGATAGTAGTGTATAGCTGCTATAAAAATTAGGCCATTCTGAGAAGCACCAAGGTGAGAGAGGAATAAGCCCAAGGACAATTTTCGTCCTTCTAGTTGAAGGAGAACCACATTTGTCCCTACCACCTCCACCACCAGAGGCTTTACATATGCTTTTCTCATACAAGACCCACCAAATCCATAAAGTAGAGATACCTGTCTCACTGAGGCTAAGTACCTATGGTAGATTATATTCTTTGTTCACAATCCTTCACTTCCTACCCTTCACTTCCCACTCTTGCCGCGGCTCCCCATGTGAGGGGTATTCTTCCCAATCCCACTGACTCTGGGCTTGGCCAAGTGACTTGCTTTGACCAATGGAATGTGGGTGCAATTGCAACATGCCAACTTGGAGCTAAGGCCTTAAGAAGTATGGCAAGCATAATTAGAAGAGCGTAGTCAATGTCACTTAAATGTGTATGTAAAAAAAATTTTTGAAATGGCGTATCTTTGGCTATGTGTATTTTCACCA